GAAATAATTATATCTGACAACAGTATAACAAAGATATTAATCAATTCATGATACCCTGAGTAACTTTGCACTGAATACCTTAATGCAGATAATAAATTTGCTTTGTTAAACTACACTCAATTACCTTGTTAATACATGTGTCATAGCATCTTGAATATCTTTGACACGCTTGCCATACCTGGAAAACAAAATTAACCAACAGTAAAAAGCATATATTCTCATTGGGTTAAACCACTTCAGTTTGCTTTCTTTCCTTTGTCTAAAATTATAAAAATGAATCAGCAAAAAAAGAGAATCCTTATTAAATTCATAAGTTAAAAAAATTTTCAACTGAGAAAAATTTGGGAAAACACTTGAAAAGAAAAATTGTCACAACCACAAGATGTAAAAGACTGTCATAAAGATTTCCAAGATATATATAATATACAGATATAAATCCTGTGTAACATAATACTTTGAGTGAATTTTGATCCAACATGAAATTCTCTTTCTATTTCACAAGGGAATACAAGAAAATTTGGAAGGAGAATTCGGCAAGCTATCAGATACCACTTGGGACTTTTTAACCACATACTCCTTCAATTATTTGAGGCAACAAAAAAAGTTGCAGATCTATTTATCTCACCCTTTCATCCCATCTAGTAAATTTTGAAACTCCTTGTGATACATAATGACTTCATCGCGGAACAAAGTAACACAGTAACCATCTTGTAACGCAATCTTCCAGATGTCTGTCACACCAGGCATAGCAAGTTGCTGATGACAAAGTGTGTATCCAACTATAGAGCAAAAAAAAAAAAAAAAAAAATCATACACAATTCCTTAGGACAGTCAACTGAACATGAAGACATTCCAGCTGACCTAAGTTTCAGCTCCCAAAGGAAAAAAAATCATTTCAATTGGTGGGACTACAATAAGGTAAATTATTAATAAATATTTCTAATGAAATAAAATCATTTGTGTAGACACTTACACAATATCCACTTCTGCATTCTGTCCAGGGAAAGGTACTCCACTGGAGGCTGCAAAAGCAAAATGTCATGTAAGTTGTAGATTCAATGTGACCTCAGTATTCAACCTGGTTTACTAATTGATGTGATAATTATTTCATCTTACACTTGTTATTTAACCCAATTTGATTTGTAGCAAACCATGTACTGTATAATTATGTCTTCAAGAGGAATCATTCAAAAATTCAATTAGTGGTCATTCACTGCCAATTAAGATCTGACAATTATCTCTGTCTGTAAAATGATGATCATAGATTCCTTTATCACATGTAGCTGAGAATTTGGTGTTTTAACAGTGCCAGTAATGATGCCTAGTTCATATTATTTCCATTGTCATTAAATGTCTGCTTGTATATCAAAATAGTTAAAAGAATAATCACTTTTAATGTTGTGATGGTTAAACTGGATGAACAACAGCTGAGACATGTGAAGAAACTTAAACACAATACTTACCACATCACTGGTGACTGGATTGAGCATCTGTAATGGAGCACTGATGATGCTAACAATCTGTGTTTGACGCCACTAAGGATTTAAATCAAAACCTTATTCACCCAAAAAATAACTAAAACTTTTAACATGTGTATCTGAAGCAATTTGAGCAAGAATTCTCCTCTGCTTATTAATATCATTCCTCCAAATAAGACTCACCTGTTCTCCTGGAGTATTTCTCCTCAAATAGATCTCATGAACTGAGTGGAGGGCAGTTGACACTCTCTGCAACAGATTAAGAAAATGCTTTGAGCTTAAGAGTACCAGTTACAGTGCAGTAAACTTTCCAAAACAATCACTTAATATAATCCATCAATCAAAAAACCCATCACTCTCATTTGAATATCAACAGAATGAAAACACAGCAATAAAATTAACACTAGAACAAATATTTTTAAAGTAGACTTGAATATGTTGGCTGGTTTTAAAATAAAGATCACCAATATCTAACCTGTTGATGCGGAACAAATTGCTCAGCAATTTTTTTCAATGGACTTTCATATTCAACAATCATAGACCCCAGTCGTGGAAAGGAATCTTCCCTACAAAAAAGTGTACAAAAAATTGAAGTAAGTTTAAACTAGGCAAGTTAATGACTATGTGAGGGGAAATCACCAGTTGAGTATTTACATGATATTTCCTGTGCCTTGGGCATGTGAATTAGTCATTAAAAATAAAACAGATGGGTACACTAAAGTTGTCACAAGTAATAGCCAATTGTTTTTAACAATTTTCCTTTCCTTTCATTTTCCTTGATTCTGTCCAAAAGACTTATCAGGCATGAGAAGTTACACATTGAAATGATTTTTGAAAAACAAAGTTTTGAGTCTACACCCTCCCTCTAGCTGAGAGAACATGTACACTGTACCTGCTGAGTGTCTAAATCTACCTACCCTCTGCCATTCTTCATCTCATAGGCATGATTAAACAGACCCAAGACAGCTTTACGATCATCCACTCGTGCAACCAGCATCATAAGTGTGGCATAGGTAACAATCACATCCAAATAAGCCTTTGTCAAGTCATAGTTTAACGCCTACAAAAGGTGACATTAAAATAGTTTAACCCTTTAACTCTCATGAGTGACCAAGACATAATTTCTCCGTACAATATCAATACAATATCAAGCAGATAAGTGATGAGAATACCGAAATTGTATGTTTGACAGTAAGGAGAATTGCAAATTTGATCTGGTACTTATTATTATTATTATTATTATTATTATTATTATTATAATTATTACCATAAACATTCACCTTTTTTCCAAACAAGGAAGTGGGTTGAAGCTAACGCACTGAACATAAACTGTGCTAGATTGAGTTGTTGATTTTTCAGTAACATAGGTGATGCGTACTCAAACAAAATAAATTGATGTCCCAAGAGTTTACATTATCCTTAACTTCCACAAATCTCTTTTCAATTACTTTGTGTTTGTATTGAAATATAGCAAGAAAAAAATGCATTGTCAAGAAAACAGGAGTAAAATATTGGAAAAACTGAGAAGGCACTTACAATGTCAAAATGTACAAAACTAGCATCAATCTCTGTTAGGAGCTCACTGGTGTTATCCTGAATCAAAATGAATTAAACAATAATTAGAATCAAACAAACAATTATTTTGTGGCTATGGTCATCAAAATGATCATAGAATTAAGTTATTGTTGTTGATAATAACAGCAACAACAGAGTAGCTATGGAAGGGAAGACTACTTTGTATTTCATTTGTGTAAACTTGAAAACACTGTCTACAGATGTTGTTTATGATACAGTCATTTCGAAATTTGATTAAAACGATGATGAAATGATCAGCACTCAAAAGAAGTGAGGGTCACTGTTGTCTAAGAAATTTGAAATGTGGCTTTTTCAATTGCACTCTGTCACTGCTTGTATCCTTTTTAGCCAATATTTAAGCATGTCACACATGCTGGTTGATAAGCATCAATATGTAAAACATCAGTAAAACTTACTCTGAATTCCATAACATCCACAAATGTATAATAATAATTAGACAGTCCTTTGATAACCTCATTCTGGATGCTGTGAACTGGTTGAAGTGCAACACTCTAAACAATGACAAGAAGAATAGAATTCTAGTTTCATGGAAACATCACAAAAAACCTAAGAAAATCGTATCAATTTGAACAGTACGTGCATAAAAACTTTCTCCTCAAAACTAAATGCAGTACCTCTAGTGGTTCTAAACTTAAATAACTTTAATTTGTAATAATGGAGAAGTGTACCTTGGTGTCTGTTACAGGAAATTTCTTAACAATGGCCTTGATTGCTGGATCCAGTGCTTTGTCAGTCAAAAAGCCTGGCCTTGATTTTGAATCAGAACATGCCTTGAAAATAAAAAAAAAGAACACAGAAACAATTACACAGACAATAACTACATACATCAAGGGTTTGATGCCTGCAGATCGCATACAGATCACACTTTACTCCTGCAACATCAAACACTTTTGTCAAATTTCCAATCCTTGGTGGATATTTCAATTAGCAAGCGTTAAAGTAGAAGAGGGTATTATCAGCTGTACACGTTCAGCCTAAACAGTAAGTTTGCGTCCTAATCTTGGATGATTTTGTGTGAATAAATGAACCATCACCTTAGGAAAAACATTCGTGATAAGCATCTTTTAAAGAAACAGAAAAGCTACGATAAAAGCCGGGAGGAAATGTTTAACCATGGAACCAATTCAAAAGCACTCAATTCACCACAGGGGAGCTATAAACAACTGATCTTGTTCAATGTTTGTCAGACATGAAGCTCTCAAAGGGGCTCTAATCTGCTCTAGTTTGTATAGCAGCATTTATCAGGAGTACATGGGCAGCAAAGTAAGGTTAACTTAGAGAACAACGTGCTATTTCTGACCCTTACTTTCTTGATGTTGTAAATTCGAGTGAGCATTCCAATTCCACGATCATTCAAAATCGTCAACTTTTCTGCCAGCCTCTGCTCTGTTACCGAAACTCCCCGATCCATATTTCAATTTTTTGTAGACTTTAACTTCTTTCAACCTTCTTGGATGTACTTTCAGTGGATCATTACGAATTTTAAACTGTTTTGGAGTGTGTTTATAATGAAACGGTAGGAATGTTGTGACAGGGAGGAGGAAGGGATGAAACCAACCCTAGAGCCCGCTATACCGATGCGGTTAGTGTTAGCTTCCTGTACAGCGTCGTGTAAAATACCGACCATATCGCAGCTCCCGATGGGTAGAAATCGGTGGCGACCATCTACCGACTGTGGACGACACATCGATCGACGAGTGGACGGTAATTAATTCTAAGGCTGTTACGAATACCCATAATACTACAAGTGACACGATTTTTCCCTCCTTCATGATCTTATGCATTTCTGCAATCGATACTGTTCCAATTACCCGCGGCCCAGTGGGTCTCTGGTCCTCAGTCAGCTGGCCCTCTATCGAGGAGATCGGAGATTTTAAGAGCACCGTCTCCAATACACTCTTAAGCGGAATAAAAAGAGACTGTTTCTTCACGTGACTTCTGTATTTATTCATTCTCAAGGCTTGACGCTTCAATTCTACATACAAATAGGGTCCAGGAAATTCACTCAATCAAACGAATGAAGAAATGAAAACTAGCGCTTTGGGACTTACTAAAATTCGGGACGAGCGCATAGGATTGTTTTTGGTTTCTTTTTTGAAACTCTGAAGGTAACTTCGGACCGGATAACATGGGACTCATCATTTGACAAATTTACATTGAAATATTAAGACTGTTTTGAACAGAACTAGATCGACAGGGATGAGGTCCTTCCACTAGTCATCTAAGCTTGAAGGCGAAATTCAGATGAATAGATGTTTCTGAAGGGCTTTTTGCTATTGCCCTTGCGACTATCACGTGCACCTTGTTGTTAAAAACATTTGAATGACTTGTTTAGGCTACAAAATTGCTAAATTCAGCATTCCTTTTCATTGTAAATTTGTTTGCGAGGTTTGCGCGTTTCCTCTTTTTCGCGCAATGGGGAGAAATAGCAGACCAATTAGACATAAAAATATGGCTCCACTTGCAGCCACGAAAATCACCGCTGGAGTGACATCTGGAATCGAATCTTGTACCGAAGCTGAAAAATGTAAACAACAAACTAAGTGAATACATCATTCTCACCGTAATAAGACATTTTGACCATGAAGAATTAAGCTAAATGACATTTTTTGTACCTGATGAATACAGTGTTACTTACTCACTAAGTTATAGAGAATTTAAAGAAGTGGATATTAAAGGGAGAAAATTGCTAGCTCATTTGTTGATGAATTATTAGCTAAGAGCGGTGAAGTGAAAAAAAAGTGAGTGAAAGGAAAAAAGACCGTGGTAGTTTCGCAGCTGTCGCCGTAATCTCCGTCCTTTATAATCTTCTGTATGTTTGTTTTTTTTCCTCATTTGTTTTCATTTTCCTTTTTTCCTTTCCTTTTTTATTCTTAATTTGTCACACTCGAGAGCATAAAAAAGGAGGCGGGGGAGAAGTGGGGCCTCTTAGCTGTTTTTTGCTATTTTTCTTGTTTGGGGTATAGCAGCCGTTTTAGTTTGGCGTGTGTCATTGAAATTCTCTCTTTGATTTTCTTTCACATCATTAGCCAATGTAATTTTGAAAGTTCCAACCTTAAAAGGCCAGCAACCTGAACCTAATAACGATTTACACTCATGAACATGATTATACCTTTGGTGGATTTCTTGTGCAGTGCCTGATCATGTGTTTTGTTCCCTGTTGAATTCATCGCATTGGGTTCCACTTTACTCGCTGCAATATCATCTTGAATTTTAACAGTGTGTATACTCCACATTCCGTTTGGGTGAACGTAATATTTCGCATCATCACCTGGTAAATCGTTCCCCTCTTTTCGGTGATTACTACCTGGAATGTCTTGTCGAGGAAAATTTTCCCCGCCGTTAATAGGCCTGTCTATTAAGAGTTTTTGAGCTGGTCGAGAAGTGGGTTTGATAAGTGAGATGCAAATTCCTACAGGATGCTGATAAGAAGCACTAGCTAAATTGCATTTTAATCCCTTTGCACAGCGGCCGACGACATAACCCTTGCCACCACAAGTCTGACCTGCAAAACACAAACAAATGAGCTGTGAAAAGATCTCAAACATTCATTTAACCATTTTTTAAAAGGCGAACGTGTGAAGTTTGTCACTGAAGTCCAAAACAGTTCATTGAATGATACAATCTAACACCAAAAAGTAGGAAAAGCCCCAGTGAACACCCCGGCTGGTTTCAGGTTTTTTATAATCTGAGGTTTTTCACCAGAGAAAAAAATTTGACAGGACTCGTTTGCTTTCCTAACGCACGGCTTTTAAAAGCAAGATTTAACTACGGCAATATATATGGAACTAGTCTATTCCAGGCCTTCAGCTAGTTGAGAGGAGTGGAAATGCAGGCTCACGAAAAGTGATACGCAGACGCATAGATTGCGATTACCTGGTAAACAGCTGAACGCAAAAACCATAATTCGCACATTACTTTTTCGCTTATCTCCACTAACAGAGAGATAAAGGAATAATTTTTCGCAGACTTAAATGAATCCGGCAATTTTCCTCTCAAATTTTTTATAGACTGAATCAAAAATCGCCGCACAAACGTCTGAAGGAATAGCTCCATTGATGTTTAATTTGCTACAGTCAATTAACATTCGGTCATAGAATTGCTTGTGTTTGGAATTCCAATTGAAAACAAATTCTCCAGAGTGTCATACCATAATTTGAGACAAAACCTACCGTTAACCCGAAGACATTTGGTACAACAATTACAGACATCCATAACGAAACCAAGAGGACAGTTTGTTTCGTTTTTGCAGTCATCTATTGCGCATGGCTTGCATCCCAGAATTCCTCCACCCGTGATTACCGCTTCAGAAATCAAGATCGAGGCGAGACTAATCAGAACATGACCCCATACCAGGGCCAAAGTAGCCTTCTGATGGAAAATGAAACAGTAGGAGATAAAGTTTTACCAGAAAATTCAGTGCCTTTTTACTGAAGACACTGACAACATTTTAAGTTGATTGTCAGTTAGTTAACCCCATTAAGACCTTCCTTAACCCTTCAACTCCCATAAGTGATCAAGACATAATTTCTCCTTAAAGTATCAATACAATATCAACCAGATAAGTGATGAGAACAAAGAAAAATATCAATTTGGGGATAATTAGTTGATTCGATACTAAATTCTCTGAAGTAACATTATAATAATTGTATGGTTGACAGTAAGGAGAATTTTATCTGGGAGTTAAGGGTTAAGAAGATCAGGTAAATTTTATCGTCACTCGACAATTATTCTTCGAACCCTCCCTTCCCCCCCCTCCTCGAGCGGCAAATATTGACTGGTCGAGTCATTAGATGGATATCAGTATGTCAATAAACAGGTCAAATATTTTCAAAACTGTCTGAACATGGAATGAGGCAAATATTACCAACGGACACAGATTGAATGAAAGCCCCTAAAAATATAAACTGTCGTGGTTACAGACGCAAAAGAAAAATTTGGATAACACGCGAAAAAACCTGAAGAAGGATTGTGTTCTTCATACAATCGCGTGCCGGAGACCTGCTGCCTGTACCGTTATTAAAAGTCGTAACCTGTTACACATACCAGGCATCAGTTTCGTGTTTTTTTCTTCAGCCCTAACTTAGTAGATTTACCCCCAAAATATTATAGAAGAGGGGTGAGGAGGGGTTCCTATCTTTTTTCAAAAGCTGCAGCTAAAAAAAAAATTGTAAAAGACTAAAGGAAAATGGTACGAGAAAAACGAAGATTTAAACCTCTCGTACTTCCAGTAAACGATATTTGGGAGCGACACCCAAATAATGTTTTATAAAAATAATTTCTTTGTGCGTTAATATTTGCTAAACTTTTATTTAAAAGAACACGACTTATTGATCGATTTTACTACAATTGCTCTCAGCCACTTTTCTTTTAGTTCCGGCAGTGATGAGTCATGTTCACCGATATATCTTAAAAATCAATCAAATTTTGCAGGTGTGTCTCAAAAGAGCAAACAAAACTAAATATGACTAAAGAGGTATAAATCAAGGTAATTTTCCAACTTAACACTATGAATTTCATTTATTAAAACTATTCTTTGTCTCAGCTGGCGCAGTTGAGATTCATTCAGTTAAAATAATGTTGTTTCATTGCAAACTGAATTAAAACCAGTTTGATATCAAATCTCGTCGCATTTACCCTGTTTGGTCCACAGTGAAAAATGCCCAGAGATTTACTGAATTGCAAGTCCCAACTAATGCAAAATGCAACTTAAAAAGCTCAGCCTCTGATAATTTCTAAAGTATATTTAACGCTTGGTTTTGTTCTTACCTTGCACTCCACCGTTGTGTTCGAATGTTGTAACCCACGACATAAACGTTGTGCTGGTTACAAACGTCGAGGTGTGGTTTGTGTTTAGGTTCCTTGGAAGAGCTTTACCCCTCACTTTGAATCAAAGGAGCCTAACAGGAATCTTTAAGTCACTGAACAACTTTAACAAGCAAAGCATAGCGAGGACTTTATTGGTAAGAACTGTCCGCCCCTTTCCTGACGGAGCGAGGGATTTTCCTAGCCAAAAGCCGTTCTGGAGTGACAACTGACAGGTTGTTATGAAGAAACACAATGCATGCTCAATGGGCATGACAATTTATTGAAACTAACAGGTACTATGGGGATGAGATCATCGTTTGAAGGAAGCAGCTACCTAGTCACTGTAAAGCATTCTTTCGCTAAAGTTACAAGCTTGGAGAATTTGGTAGTTTTCGTTGGAGATTTGTGGATATCTTTAAGACCACGGCGATTTCTGCGCACAAAATTGCTGATTTTGTCGTGACACTCAACCCTGAAAGTAAATACGCACACTTTATCTCTTCGACGCCTAAGATCTCCCCTCAATTTTCTTTACTCTCTGGCATACATTTGTCACCATTTTACTTCTGAGTATTTGAAGCTAAATCAAACAATTTTACCAGTTGTATATGATTTCCTTCTCACCACCTTTCCACTAAACAATTTTGATGATATTTTGTAAGCGAAGATCATGGGTCGCTTCGCGGAGTTCTAACAAGAGGTTGTGTTGCTGTTTTTCTTCTGTCACGATACGAGTTTAAAAATACGAATCTCTGGAAACGAAAACATTGCTTGTCAGTTGGGGTAATTTTATTGTATAAACATTCAATCATCGTCGTTTTTCGCTAAATTATGAAACGTTCTTGTATTGCCTGGTCATATTTGATCTCGTACCCAGACCCTTATTGCGTGTAAAGTGTACCTGGCCAATTACGTGACTCGAAGACTGGGGGCGAAACTAATGACATAAGTGGGTAACGAGTACAGATTTCCTCCAATGGTCAGCCTAAAGGAAAACCGGTCTGCAGGTTATCAGATTACGTGAACCTGATAATAACAGCCAAGGAGACCTATTCCCAAAACCCAACAAAAATGAGGTATACCTTACGAGTTAAAGCAATGGATTGGCGAAAGAAAACCGTAGAGACATTTCTTTGCGTTACTGCAGCCTCTTCCCTGGTCCGTTGAAAACTCGGACCACCTTGTCGACCAATCAGATGTAACTATAACTTTATCACTCCAGGGTTTATCCGTAATCTAACCTACTCCTTCACGTTTTGTGATATTGGCTGATGTAATTACACTCTCAGTACATTTGAGCGACGTAATATCAGTGTGGTTGAAAGGTGTGCAAGACACTTCTGAAGAACTAATCTGTACTAATCCGGTTAAATCTGGATTCAAAGGGGACGATCTTACAAAAAAACGCTCCGAGCCAGAACTCATTCACTCGGAACCTGTGAAAAGTCATATTTTATCGTTTTTGTTACAGTGGTTGATCAAAAATTTCATAGGTATTATTCAAGCAATTTCCTTCTTGCAATTTCCATCTTGCTGGGAAACAAGTACACCTATACGTGACAGTATTGATCTGTTTCTCATTGGATTTCGGCATTATATAACGTTGTCTTCTGTCACGTTTCCGGTAAACGTGCGTGCTGTTTAGTAACGCTAGCAAAGATAGCTGACCATGTGAGCAAGCGCGTGCTGAGCGCTGGAAGAAGAGTAATGAAGGCCGACTCCCACATGTCCTAGTCAAAAACACTTCCTGTAAAATGACTCCCTCGTCATATTTCACTGTTATAAATGAGTTCAGAGAGACTGCGTTTTGGTTTTTATCAGCATGAGAATTAAAGAGAAATTACACAGTATGCCGCTTACTGGCACAGAATAGAAGAATAACTCACGCATTACATTATGATCTGAACACGCTTTAAGTTATACAGTTTCAATCGTTCCGCATTTTTCGTGTTTTTGCATCACAGCATAGCATCTTTCCCTACCAAAGATCAGTCAGCGGCTATTTCTATTGCTCACGAATCTACCAAAGCTGGTTCCCTCTACAAATTTTAAGTTTGTGAGTTTGGTTAAATCGGGAGGAACGAACATTTTTTAAAAAAAGTTTTATTTCCTCCATAGCACAACAAAATGAGTTCTAAAAAGTCGTGTTTGGAAACAATTAATCTTCGTGGGATAGAATTAACCCCTCCTCAGTGCCAGCCAGTACAAGCCGAAGGTATTTTTTACCTCATCCAGCGACTTTGACCAGAATCAAAGTCCCAACCAGTAGAATCTAAGGGTAACTTTTCGCGAGAAATCAGAGATTTTCTTGAGATTACGAGCGTCAGCAAGTCACCTTGATTGTCCTTATTGTCTCGTCCATGCATCTTCGCATCGCACACTCGGAAAAGATCAGTTGGTGTTGATTAGAAACTGACTTCAACGGTAGAAAAACGTTTATCCTTTTTTGACCTTCGGCCTATCTGATATCTTGTCTCGGTGTCAGGAAAAGGAGAGCAGTGAGTGATTGTCAGCCATCAAAACATCATGATAATTTTGTCAGCTATGTCACAAGTTAAATTGAAAAATTCCCAGAAAATATCATGCGAAAAATGCCGTCCCAGCCAGGATTCTCTTGGAAATTTGCCAGCCAGCTCAGCTGAAGGTGGGGAGCAGCTATTTTCAGGATTGGGTCTGTCGAACTAAATAGAAAGCAAAGATCCTAAGATTATTGGACTTGAACCATTTGCGAAGCAAGTCAAACAAATCTTTATTTGCTAAATCTAAATCCCAACACAGATGAAAATGAAAACGCAAGCGCGCGGCCGGTAAATGGTGCGAACGTCACTTCCCGGTCTTCCCTTGGGGATCTGATATGCCCTTTTTTCAGCTTTCCACTGAGATAATTTCATTGAATTTTCTATTCACTGTTTCAAACCTATATTAGAAGTCAGTTTCCCATTCCAGACTACGACAAAGGCCTCTTAGCCCCAATGTTAATCAAGGCACTCGTCCAAGAGAAGTAACTTTTGTTACGTCACCTTAAAAAAAATTGCAGAATATCGATTACCGCTAAAGGATAGTAACCTTCTTCCTAAGCAAACCAGCAGTGAAGGTATTGACGAAAAGGGAAAAATGACGCAATTTACTTTGTGCTGCGCCATTCAAATCGAAACCCGCTCTACCCCACCCCCACCGACTCGTAGCATTGTGTATCGACAAGATTAAGTCACGAATAAATCCTTTGGGCTACTAAAGGCGTAAGCCGAGACCCGGAGAGTGAATAACTTCACGTGTTGCTTACGCTCAAAACTCTGAATTCCTTGTAATTCGCTCTTCTCAAGTACCAATTTCCTAACTAAAGGAAAATCTTCGCTCCTACTGGTACACAAATTTGCGTCCAAATTGTCTCACATCTAGCCCCTCCAACCCCGCCTCAGGCAAGTCTTCCGCACCGTACCCTGCTACGAAGCTTTCCTTACCAGTTCGTAGTCGATCAGAAGAAACATGCAAGGATTTATAACGTAAAGTATTTCTTTATTCGTTAGTATTCTTTTATACAAACCGTAACGACGCAGTCCAATGAAGGACATACAAACATCATACGAACAGTCTCGGTAGCAATCGATCGCGCGCGTGCATGTAATGTACATGTAGTTGTAGTATTTCATAAAATATATACTCTTATATGACATCTTTTAAGCGCTCCTGTACAAGGTTTCGTGAAAAACTGGGTTTGGTTTGAAATTGCTAAGAAATTTACACGTGAAACTCTACCTCACCCGACCCAACTTTTTCGCTCTTCTAACGACAAACAATCGAACAGCAGTATTCATTCACTATGCCTGTCACTCGCACTTCATCCACATTTCACCATTATTCGGTGCCTCAGTAATTACAAATTTTCATAATGAAAGCGATGACTAGCTAAGAACTAGATAGAAGTGATTGGTGTGCCAAAGTATTCTACAAAGAAACACTGACTATGATTTTAGGTTAATTGCTTTCGTCTTCGGCTGAGTTCGCACTCGATTCGAACGTCGCATCGTGTGTTTGGCGTCTCGACATTTCTGGCAGATGAACACGTCGGGAACGTTCGATTTTCGTATCTTTGCACACGACAAGTGAATCCACGTTAGACACTCGGAACATTCGATCATGGGTCGTCCTGAAAAGCAACGAAACGAATTAAGTCAATAATTTGTCGTTCATGTATGACCAGCTTAAAAATGAACAACAATTTACATTCATAACGATGAAACGATGCTTTTACAGAGTCCTTACAACAAAACACTTTTCATAGACATCATCGAAAATCCGCAAGGTACAGATTTTTAAATAAACTTGAGTAACTTAAAGCTATGCTTTTAAAGAAAACTCTACTCAGAAATGCTCTTGAATCGACTTGAAGTGGAAAACTCGACCATGAAACTGAGAAACATTACGCGACTGGTGAAAGATGAGTGACACAAAACATCGAAGATACTAGTTAAGATTTGGAAAAATTTCACCGTTCATCGCAAAGACGGAAAGAAAATAAACAGAAAACCTACATTTGGTTCGCTATCAATAAAAGTATAGAGAAGTTAGGTAGTCTATGGTTGGGTGTGAATGGCATTAACAGACCGTATTGCTAGAGTAGATAATTCTCTCTCGCGCTTATCGATCACAGGAATATACATTCACATGTAAAGAAGAAAACGAAGGACACTACTATGATTTGAAACTTATTACTCAGTTAGCCTTTATCTCAGCGAAGAATGCAGCGTGAGGTATTCCGAATTTCACATACAGGTTCAGAAAACTGTCTGTTAGTAGCTCAACATACATAATTTTCCTCCCACCGTTCGCTACTCGAACTGATTTCACAGTAATTACTATTTCATTGGCAAGATAAAAAGAGGAAAAGTCGTTTCCAGAAGCTCAGACATACATCAGGCAGAATTTAAAGAGTACGTGTAGTATTTGCATGACGAAAACCAGCGAATGAATAACATGTAAGCTAAATGAATTGATGGTTTGTTGTACCGACGAGGTTTCAAATGTTATGAAGTTCCGTTCTGTCTGTGTCACGTATTACACTGGAGTAATAAACGACTAAAAGGAACGACTACTCAGGGATAAGTATCTGAACTAAAGCAAAAACAGTGCTTACCTGCGAAAGGTTTTTGGCAGTAACATGTGATTTTGTTCCACGACTCGTCATCTGCGAATAATAAAAGAAAGACATCATTTTGACGACCTCTGCACGCCTTCGTTAAAAAAAGCCAGAAATCAAAGAAAACGCACTTAAGAGTAGAAACTTCCAGAATTCCATTTTCAGGAGAAATTGAGTGACGATAAACGAGTTGCAATTTCATAGTAACTGTACTTGTACCCACCAGAGCTGTATTCCTCATCAACATCGTCGAGTAATCTTTCATCCCCACTTGAACTAGCCGGTGAAGAAGCTGTTTCACTGTAAGCCGAATCCGTACTCGACGACACACTTTCTAGCGAATTTGGACTTCTATTGCGCTGACGAACGTCCTGAAAACACAACAACATGAAGAGGTCAGGCAACAAATTTATTCAGAGAACACGTTGAACAACGTATGTGTCATAAAGCCGACAAGAATTTTAGTGGGCCGACACAAAGAAAAATACGATGAAAAGCGACTGGTTCGACGAAGACGTTACAAGTAGGTAGTTTTTGTTGTTTAAAAGAGGAATGACCTGGATGTATGGACCAAACTTGTAAGA